TATACGTCGTGGTGATCTCCCGAGACACACGACTGCCCTTCACTGTCATCTCTTCATCGTCCCACGACTCGGTAGATGTGTTCTCACTTGCCTTTTGAATTAGTTCCAGCTCAGCTGCAAGCACTGACGGAGTGATGTGGTCCTCAAAGTACTTGGCAGCCCAGCTTCTCGTGGCTCGCGAGCAATCATCATTCCACCAAGACCGCACCATTGCAGGGAGACGATGACTCGGTGAAAAATTGGGACCGTGAGTCTGTTTGCTTTATTGCGAGTGGATTGATGGGAACTTTTTTAAACCTCGCCATTTAGAGGAAGGTGAAGTCGTAACAAGGTTTCCGTAGGTGAACCTGCGGAAGGATCATTACCACACCTAAAAACTTTCCACGTGAACCGTTTCAACCCAATAGTTGGGGGTCTTACTTGGCGGCGGCTGCTGGCTTTATTGCTGGTGGCTACTGCTGGGCGAGCCCTATCAAAAGGCGAGCGTTTGGACTTCGGTCTGAGCTAGTAGCTTTTTTATTTTAAACCCTTTACTTAATACTGATTATACTGTGGGGACGAAAGTCTCTGCTTTTAACTAGATAGCAACTTTCAGCAGTGGATGTCTAGGCTCGCACATCGATGAAGAACGCTGCGAACTGCGATACGTAATGCGAATTGCAGGATTCAGTGAGTCATCGAAATTTTGAACGCATATTGCACTTCCGGGTTAGTCCTGGAAGTATGCCTGTATCAGTGTCCGTACCACAAACTTGGCTTTCTTCCTTCCGTGTAGTCGGTGGAGGAGATGCCAGATGTGAAGTGTCTTGCGGTTGGTTTTCGGACCGACTGCGAGCGCTTTTAAATGTACTAAACTGTACTTCTCTTTGCTCCAAAAGTGGTGGCATTGCTGGTTGTGGACGCTGCTATTGTAGCGAGTTGGCGACCGGTTTGTCTGCTGCGCCGTTAATGGAGAAATGCTCGATTCGTGGTATGGTTGGCTTCGGCTGAACAATGCGCTTATTGGGTGATTTTCCTGCTGTGGCGTGATGGACTGGTGAACCATGGCTCTTTAGCTTGGCATTTGAATCGGCTTTGCTGTTGCGAAGTAGAGTGGCGGCTTCGGCTGCCGAGGGTCGATCCATTTGGGAAATGTTGTGTACTTCGGTATGCATCTCAATTGGACCTGATATCAGGCAAGATTACCCGCTGAACTTAAGCATATTAATAAGCGGAGGAAAAGAAACTAACAAGGATTCCCCTAGTAACGGCGAGTGAAGCGGGAAGAGCTCAAGCTTAAAATCTCCGTGCAAGTTTTGCGCGGCGAATTGTAGTCTATAGAGGCGTGATCAGTGTGGGCGCTTGGGGCAAGTTCCTTGGAAGAGGACAGCATGGAGGGTGATACTCCCGTTCATCCCTGAGTTGCTCGTGCGTACGATCCGTTTTCTTTGAGTCGCGTTGTTTGGGAATGCAGCGCAAAGTAGGTGGTAAATTCCATCTAAAGCTAAATATTGGTGCGAGACCGATAGCGAACAAGTACCGTGAGGGAAAGATGAAAAGAACTTTGAAAAGAGAGTTAAAGAGTACCTGAAACTGCTGAAAGGGAACCGAATCGTTTCCAGTGTCTATAATCCGTGGTATATTTCATTGGCGAGTGTGTGCGTGCGTGTGCTGTGGCAGCGGCTTTTTTGGCTGCGCTCGGCGTGTGTGCTGTGTGTGCTTGCTGGTGCCCTGTGCTGCGGTGGGACGTCAAGGTCAGTTCGTATGCTGCGGGAAATGGCCGCCGAGGAGGTAGGGCTTACGCTTGCGTTTGTCTGTTATATCTTGGTGGACGAGTAGTCGCGGTTGGGACTGAGGTGCCTACAACGTGTTTTTGAGTGGGCCTGTGTCTCTGTGTGCGCCGTGTGCGGATAGCTTGCTATGCGTGTGTGGTTGTGTGTGGATTGATGTGGGTTTTAACTTGTTGCCGTTCGGGACGTTGACGAAATGGAGCGATTTGACCCGTCTTGAAACACGGACCAAGGAGTCTAACATGTGTGCAAGTGTTAGGGTGTGGAAACCCCAGCGCGAAATGAAAGTGAAGGGCAGCGTAAGTTGTCTGAGGTAGGAAATGCTGCGGGCTTCGGTCTGCGGTGTGGCACTATCGACCGATCATGAACCTTCGTGGTGAAAGATTTGAGTTTGAGCACATATGTTGGTACCCGAAAGATGGTGAACTATGCCTGAGTAGGGTGAAGCCAGGGGAAACTCTGGTGGAAGCTCGTAGCGATTCTGACGTGCAAATCGATCGTCAAACTTGGGTATAGGGGCGAAAGACTAATCGAACCATCTAGTAGCTGGTTCCCTCCGAAATTTCCCTCAGGATAGCAGCAACTTATTTACGATAGTTTTATGAGGTAAAGCGAATGATTAGAGGATTCGGGGAAGAAACTTCCTCGACCTATTCTCAAACTTTAAATCTGTAAGACCTGCAGGTTTCTTAATTGAACTTGTGGATGTGAATATCAAGTTGCTAGTGGGCCATACGGGGTAAGCTCGTCTGGCGATGCGGGATGAACCGAACGCAAAAATAAAGTGCCAAAATGCTCGCTCACCTAGATACCAT